ATGCGATACGACAATGTGCCGCCTCGACCCCCACGCAAGCGAACTACAACACGCCACAACCCCCAGCTTCGAACGTCCGACCACGACTTAAAGGGCAACTGGATTGGTATAGCCATCTTCGGCCTCCTGTGGGTCGTTATCGGATGCGGTGTGGAACGCATGCGGCGTGGTGGAGACGACGCATGTAGGGCTTGGCTTTTTTTTCCCCCGAAGTTCCCCCCCCCCCCCCTCCTGGGGGGGCTCCCCTCCTGGGGGGGCTCCAGGGGGGTCAGTGTTCTTGTTTTTTTTCTCCCCCTGGGGGGGGGGGCGGGGGGGGGGCGGGTGCCTCGAGGCTTTTATTTTTTCCCTCGGAGGCTGTTTTTCTCCCTCGAGGCTTTCCCTCCCCACCCCCGGAGGGGGCAACGGGGGCCAGGGCGGGGGGAACGGGGGGGGGGCGCCCAGAGAGAGGGTGGGGGGCGGAGGGGGGGAGGAGGGGGCTCCGCCGAAGGGGGGCCTCGCCGAAGGGGGCCTCGCCGAAGGGGGGCTCTGGCGTGGGCCTTCGGTAAATCGCATTTTTCAGATAGGTTTCCGGGAACATGATTCCTTGGGCTTCCGCCCACCGCCCCAACCAAGTTTCCAATAGGCTTGCCGACAAGGCCAAAAGGCGCCCCTCGGTAAGCCCCCAGAGGCCCGCCTCTTAGAGAGCCGAACAAATCATGCTCTTGGAAAGCTTCCCGGGAACATGCTTCTCTATCTCGGAGTAGGCCGGGGGGGGGGGGCGGGCCGCTGCCTGTTGAACAGGCCCTGTTCCCCCCATCGGTGCCCAGCCGGGGTTGCAGGGGGGGTCCAGAGCTCCCGAGGCGGCCCGAGCCCGCCCCGAAGCAGGCCACGACAGGCTAATGGAGGTCCCAAGAGGGCCCAAGACGGTCCCACGAGGCCCCGAAGACGCCCAAGATGCCCTCAAGACAGCCGACGAGGACTCCAACACGCTCCAGGACGGACTCAAGAGGCTCCCCAAGAGGGCCCTGGAAGTCAAGATTCACTCGCTTTCCGAGTGTTTTGGATTTTGGCATTCTCGCTTTTCCCGCTTCCCAGCGCTCACTTCACGGCCTCGGAGACCCTTCAGATCGCTCCAAGACGGGCCACGAGGCCCCGACGAGGGCCCCAAGACGGCCCAGGAGGCTCCCCAGACAACCCAGGTGTGCCCCAAGAGCGCGCCAAGAGGAGGCCCAGAGGGGTCCCGATGCGGCCCGGACCCGCCCCGAAGCAGGCCATGACAGGCTAATGGAGGTCCCGAGAGGGCCCTAGACGGTTCCAAAGGCCCCGAAGACGCCCAAGATGCCCTCAAGACAGCCGACGAGGACTCCAGCACGCTCCAGGACGGACTCAAGAGGCTCCCCAAGAGGGCCCTCGGAGGCAAGATTCACTAATTTTCCTATGGTATTTGAAGGATTTAGGCGTTCTCGTTTTCCCCGCTTCCCAGCGCTCCCTCACGGCCTCGCTCGGAGGTCCTTCAGATCGCTCCAAGACGGGCCACAAGGCTCCGAAGAGGGCACAAAGACGGCCCAGGAGGCTCCCCAGACAACCCAAGTGTGCCCCAAGAGCTCCCCAAGAGAGGGCCCAGAGGGGGACCGCCAACCGATATTTCGAAGTCTCTGGCCCTAGTACTAGAGGCCGCCTGTAGGCCCGAGGCCACTACGAGGCTCCCACGAAGCCCCGTGAGGCGCCCAAGAGGCCCCCGGGAAGCCCCAAGAGACCCCCAAGGGGCTCCCAGGGAACACCCAAGAGGCTCCCCAACACACCCTAAGAAATCATGTCCCCAGAAAACCTTCTGGGGACATGGTTCATCATGGGCCCGAGAGTTCCCGGAGGCCCCCAAGTGGCCCCCAGGAAACGCCGAAGAGACCCCCCAACACACCCCAACAAACCATGTCCCCAGAAAGCCTTCCGGGGACATGGTTCATCATGGGACCGCGAGTCTCCGGAGGCTTCGAAGCACCATCATGCTACAGGAGGACTGTTTGGGAAGTTGATTGGGAACATGACTGATCGCCTTCTCGCGGCCCTCCGCAGATCATTTCGCACAAAGTTGCCCCAAGTGCCCTCTTGAACCGACGACGACGACGACGAAACGACGAAGACGACGACGACGACGACGCGCCCCAATAGGCGACGACAACATTACGACGACGACGACGACGGCACGCCCCAGCAGGCTCCCCAAGACGCCCCCAAACCCATGCTCCCAGAAGGCCCTCTGGGAACCCGATTCATACGGCCTCCGCCCCCCTACACAACCATTTTCCTCGAAGGCCTTTCGGAGGGCAGATTGCACTGTGGTCTTCTACTTCAGTGGAGCAGTGAATTCGCCAAGGCCTGGGGCCTGCTAGAACCTGAGCGCGCGGCGAAGGCGCGCGCGATGGTGCGTTTTTTTTTTTTTTTTTTTTTTTTTTTTTTTGTTTTTTTTTTTTTTTTTTTTATTTTTTTTTTTTTTTGTCTAGTACATATGTAATATAGACATAATAATAGTATTTTGTTCTTATTGCACGCCCCCGGTCGTTCAGAAGTAGGTATGCTTGGATTCCCACATCCCCAATCTACTTCAAGTCGCCTTCTACTTCAAGGAATCGACACGTAGCTTGTTGCTGTGCTTTGCCTATGGTCTGGGGGCCTCCGTACTTCTGTCCCTCAGGTTTTACCTGCTTCTTTCCGACCGACGTCTAGTCTATCTAATCTATCTATCTTATCGTATCTAGCTATCTAATGAGATCAATCTATGCTAGCGATCAGCGATCGATCGTATAGAAGCTCTATATCCTATGCTATGTCTAGCTATTATTATGCTTTTTATCTATCTATCTATCTATCTATCTATCTATCTATCTATCTATCTATCTATCTATCTATCTATCTATCTATCTATCTATCTATCTATCTATCTATCTATCTATCTCTATATATATATGTATACACACACGCGTTCGACTTCTGGGCTGTCCGCGCAGTCAGGGAGCCCTTCGTGGCGTGGGCCTGCCGCCGCCCCCCCCGAGGCGGCCTCCGACTCCGACTCCGACTCCGGCGCGGAGGGCGGGGCCGAGGGGCCGACCCTTGCCTCCACGCAGGCGCCCCTCTGGAGGGGGCGCAGGCAGGCTGTCCTCCCTCCTCCTCCCATCGTCCTCCTCCTCTCCTTCTACACTCCTCCCCCTCTCCTCTTCCTCACCCTCATATTTCCTCCTCCCCCCTCCTCCCTTCCTCCTCCCCTCATCCTTTCTCCTTCCTACTCCCACCCCCTCCCCCTGCCTCCTCCCCTCCTCCCCTCACTCCCTCCCTCCTCCTCCTCCTCCTCCTCCCCTCCCTCACTCCCTCCTCCTGCCTCCTCCTCCCTCCTCTTCCTCCTGCCCTCCTCCCTTCCTCCTGTCCTCCCTTCCTCCTCCTCCTCCTCCTCCTCCCTCCTCTCCTCCTCCTCCTCCTCCTCCCTCCTCCTCCCCTCCCCCACTCCTCCCCTTCTTACTCCCTTCCTCCCTCCTCCCTCCTCCCTCCTCCCTCCTCCCTCCTCCTCCTCCTCCTCCTCCTCCTCCTCCTCCTCCTCCTCCTCCTCCTCCTCCGCCTCCTCCTCCTGCTATTCCCCCTTCTCCCCCTCCCCATCCTCCCCTCCTCCTCCTCCTCCTCCTCCTCCTCCTCCTCCTCCTCCTCCTCCTCCTCCTCCTCCTCCTCCCCCTCCTCCTCCCCCTCCACTCCGGTCGCCGGTTGCCGGCCTTGCCCGGGCGGTCGGCCAGGGGCCTCCGAGAGCACGGGCTGCAGCCGGCTCCCCGCTGCCCTGCGCTGAGAGGGCAGGCGCTCCGAAGGAGGGGAGGCCGGAGGGGGGGGGGGGGGGATAAACCAGGGGGGAGGGGGGAGGGGGGAGGGGGGGAGTGGAGGAGGGGAGGAGGGGGTGAGGGGGCGGGGCAGAGGGGAGGGGAGGGGAGGGGATGAGGGAGGAGAGGGGGAGGGGAGGGCCGGAGGGGGGGGGATAAAACAGGGCCAGGATCGGGAGAAATCGATCCAGAGCGTTCCGGAGCGCTCTCAGAGCGGCCGCGGCGCCCAATACATCTTCCAAACCCGCCGATTCTCAGAGATTTCGAGTTATCCCGATCCGATTTTGCCCCGATCTTCGCGTCGTTTTAGGGGAGGGGGGGGGGCCGCAGGGCCAGCTGCTTGTGCGAGCACAGCCAGATGTCGTTCTCGTTTTTGCATGCGTGTGAGAGAGCATCTCGGGGCGGCCGTGCTGGGTCATGTCGTTCAAGCTGTCTCACACATCAGGGTTTCGTTTGTAGCAGCAGTTACAGAGGGATTCAATTTGCGGCGATCTCAAACACGAGTCATACGTGCGGGGGATCTGCAGTGGCGCCGCCTTGCGGCTGAGAAAGCTAGACATGAACACAGGAAAAGCTGGAACCAGTTCTTGTACTTCCCGAATAGACGCACAGGAAACAGGTAGGACAACCTCTGACTTTCGCTGTTTTTATTCTGCAGATCCCATGGGCCCTCTTGAGGCTTGGATCTATCTTTGGGGCCTCTTGGGCCGTCTTGGGGCGATCTTGGAACTCCTTCGGCGTGTTGGAAACCCGAAACAGCGAGGGCACTTTCAAAAAGCCCATGCGAAATCGGGGGATTTTCTTAGGGGTCGTCTTGGGGGCCTCCTGGGGCGGCTTGGGGGTTTGGGGGCCTCTTCGGCCGTCTTGAGGTCATCTTGGGCGTCTTGGAGCGCTCTTGGGCCATCTCGTGGGCTTCGGACCGTCTTGGGGCTCTCTTGGCATCCTCTTGGCCCGTCTGGGAACCCATAGGCCGATGGAAAAGTCATGCGGGAAGCCTCGAGTCTTGCGGGCACCCAGCAGCCACGCGAGAAGCCCAAGAAATCCGGGGCTTCGGGCCTTGGGTCCCTTGCAGGGTATTCCAATCCCCAGTATCGAAGAGACCCTACAGGACCTGAGGGCACTCCACTTCGTGCCCAGCGGCACGGTGGCGGACCAGCGCTCTTAACAACACGAGCCGCTCCCCGAAGTAGTAGTCGAATTTTCTAGGGGAGCGACAAATGACATAAACATGAAAAGGAGGTTCGCGCGGATTTCTCAGATCGGCGTTGGACCCCCCTTACGGCGCCTCCTGCGCCGCCCCTGGCGCGCTCCGCGCGCCAGGGAGGGGGTTCCAGCGCCGATCCGAGACATCCGCGCGGACCTCCGAGTTTTTATGTGTGCATGTCACTGTTCGTTCCCCTATAGCTTGGGGTCTTAAAACTTCTTTCCCGGGACGCTTCCTGGCTTTCGCCCCGTCGCCGCCCGTTGTCCCCCGTTGCCGTCCCTTCGCCGCTCCGCTGCCGCCCCGGTGCGGTCCCGTTGCCGCCTCGTTGCCCTCGCGTCATCGCCGTGCTGTGCTGCCGCGTTGCCGTCCACTGCCGCCCCGTTCTGTTCTGCTACGGGTTGCGTTGCGCTGCTCAGCATCGCGCGGCTTTGCGCTGCTTCGCCTTCATGTGTACACTACTGTGTGCATTGCTTAGCTCTGCTAGCATTGCACGGCTTTGCATTGCTTTGCATTGCTTTGCACTGCTTCGCATTGCTTCGCATTGCTTTGCATTGCCTTTCACTGCTCTGCATTGATTTGATTGCTTTGCATTGTCTTTCATTGCCTTGCGTTGCATTGCTTTGCATAACATTGCATTGCTCTGCGTTGCTTTCCATTGGTCTGCATTGCTTTGCATTGTTTTGCATTGCTTGGTATTGCTTTGTTTTGTTTTGCATTGAGCCGCGCTGCTTTGGAGTACTGTGCATTGCTCTGCACTGTCTGCTTTGCACTGCTCTGCGTGGATTTGCACTGCCTTGCTCTGCGCTGTGCTCGCAAGTGTGCTGCCCTGGGCCTGCGATGGAACTGCTTCCGACCCCCTCGGGGCTGTGTTCCCCCCGCCCAGTCTCGACAGGGCCACGCTGTTGGTGCGTGCAGGTGGTCTTGTTTTTCGATTCGGCTTCCTCCGCCTCCTTTCGCTCTTCTCTGCCCCCTTCCCGCTCTCCTTCGCCCTTCCTCCCCCTTCCCCCTCCCCGTCCCCCGCCAATCCCCAGAGATGATCCGAGGACTTGATCTTTTCCATCCGGCGGCTTTTCCTGGAATGCGGCCTTCGGGGCCCGTGGTCGGGCCCGGGGGCCATCAAGAGTGGATCCGGGAGGAAAGGTCACCCTCGGGGAAGGGGTCGGAACCTCCTCCTGGGGCCGCGGATGGACAGATTTTCACATCGGCGGATTTCTGGGGGCCCTTGTCCTCCCTGCTCCTTGCCCCCCTCCCCTCTATGTCACCATCTCCCTCCTCCCGCCTCCTCCTCCTCCTCCTCCTCCTCCTCCTCCTCCTCCTCCTCATCTCCTTCCTCCTCACCTCCTTCCTCCTCCCACCTCCTCCTCCTCCTCCTCCTCCTCTTCCTCCTCATCTCCTCATCTCCCTCCTCCTCGTCCTCCTCCTCCTCCTCCCACCTCCTCCCCCTCCTGCCCCTGCGCGCCCTGCCCCCCTCCCCCCCCCGTCCTGGCGGTGCTCGGCGACGCCCGGGGTGCTGCTCGGCGACGGCCGACGGCGGTGCCTGGCGGGGGCTGTGGCGCATGTCGTCGCGCGTCGGCCACGCGCAAAGGGAGGCATGGGGGAGGGGGGAAGGCTTCTTGGAAGCACCCCCGCATCTCGGAAGACGCGGGCCTCGTCTGCAGATGTGCGCAAAGGCCTGCGCCTTCTCTTCGAGGCAGCCTTCTCTCGAGAAGCCGACCTCCCTCCCCCTGCCGCCCCCTTCGCGCCGCCCAGCTCGGGGCTCGCTCGTGGGTCGGATGCCCGTGCCGACGGCGCTCGTTGTCCCCGCGGGGCCTGCGCCTTGGGGCTCGCTCGTGGATCGGATGCCCGTGCCGACGGCGCTCGCGCCGGGCCTCGTCCCCCCGCGGGGCCACTGCGCCGGAGGTGCTCCGGCAGACCGCGGCCGTTACGTCGAAGGCGCCCTCCCCCTGGGCGCGCGGGGAGGGCTGCACCGCCACCGCGCCCGTGGTCGTGCTCGAGCTCCTGCTGCGGTCGGCGGCATGGCTCCATGGGCGGGCCCATCCTGAGCCCAGGAGCCGAGTATTGCGGTCAACCCGCATAGCAAGGATGGGCAACCTTCTCAAGGGTACCCTTGTATCCTTGCCTCCTCGATCCATCCTTCGCCACTCTCGTTGGCCGCGTCCCGCTCGAGAAGCTTCGACGTGGCCTTCCCAGGGCCTTGCATCCTTCTCGAGCGTCCTTCTGATACGGGTTGACTGTAAGCCCCCTTGGCCAAGCCAGGAGGGCCTGGCGTTTTGCACCGCTGCTGGGTTCAGGGTGGGCCTGGCTAGGGAGCAGCTGATAGGTGTGGGCTTCGTCGCCCAAGGCCGATGCGCCTGGCTGGGGCCTCTCCTTCGGGCTGCCCCACGCCTTTTGTTCCTCCTGCTGCAGCGGGCACCGTGGTGTTTCTGCTGGCTACTCCGCCGCTGAGGCCTCCTGCTCACCCATGCTGCTGCTGCTGCTGCTGCTGCTGCTGCTGCTGCTGCTGCTGCTGCTGCTGCTTATCCTCTCCTCTCCCTCCCCTCCCATGCGGGGAGGAGGCGGGCGCATGGGGGAATGGGGGAGCAGAAAGGAGGGGAGGGATGAGGGAAGAGAGGATGCAGGAGGAAGGTGGGGAGAGGGAGGAGAGAGCAGGGTGGAGGAGGAGGAGAAGGAGTTGGAGGGGAGGGGGAGGAGGAAGGGGGGAGCGTCAGAGCGGAGGAGGAGGAGGAGGAGGAGGAGGAGGAGGAGGAGAGGAGGAGGAGGAGGAGGAGGAGGAGGAGGAGGAGTAGGAGGAGGAGGAGGAGGAGAGGGAGGAGGGAGGGGAGGAGAGAGGAGGGAGGAGGGAGGAGGGAGGAGGGAGGAGGGAGGGAGGGAGGAGGCGAGGAGGGAGGAGGGGGGGGGGAAGGAGGGAGGGGGGGAGGGGAGGGGAGGGAGGAGGGAGGAGGAGGAGGAGGAGGAGGGGAGGGAGGAGGAGGAGGAGGAGGAGGAGGAGGAGGAGGAGGAGGAGGAGGAGGGAGGAGGGCAGGAGGAGGAGGAGGAGGAGGAGGAGGAGGAGGAGGAGGAGGAGGAGGAGGAGGAGGATGGAGGAGGAGGAGGAGGGAGGAGGGGGAGGAGGGAGGGGAGGATGGGGGGAGGGGGGGGAGGGGGAGGGGCAAGCTAGGTGCGCTCGCGTCATATCTGACATCCTACCCCTCCCTCCCATCCCTTACCATGGCTCAGGAGGAGGAGGAGGAGGAGGAGGAGGAGGAGGAGGAGGCGGAGCGGAGGCGGAGGCGGAGGAGGCCGGAGGAGGCGGAGGAGGCGGAGGAGGCTGAGGAGGCGGGGAGGAGGAGGAGGAGGCAGGAGGAGGAGGAGGAGGAGGAGGAGGAGGAGGAGGAGGAGGGGGAGGGGGAGGCGGAGGCGGAGGCGGAGGGGGAGGGGAGGGGGAGGGGGAGGGGGAGGATGGGAGGAGGATGGGGAGGATGGGGAGGAGGAGAGGAGGAGGAGGAGGAGGAGGAGGAGGAGGAGGAGGAGGAGAGGAGGAGGAGGAGGAGGAGGAGGAGGAGGAGGAGGAGGATGCGGAGGAGGAGGAGGAGGAGGAGGCCTTAGCCATTTTGGCTCAAGTGTTTTGGCACAGGGCCTGGCCTTACTGGTGCGGGGGGGTGACGGCCCCCACCAAGTCACGCCTCGGCACCTGGCCCAGGTGAGGTTTTGGCGCTTTCTCGCAGGTACGGCCTGCGAGGCATCCCAACGCGTGGGTCACGCTATGTGCAATGATGGGCGCACAGTCCTCAAAGGGGCGAAGACCCCCACTGGGGCTGTGGGCAATGCGGGCGAGCCTCCAACTGGGCCTCCAGGATCCAGTGTGCGTGTGGTGCCGCAGCGCCGCGAACGATTGTGGATAAAGCGATGGCTGCAGACAAGGTTGCCAATGTGGGTGCGAGTGGGGGCGGGAAAGGCCAGCCACCACCAGGCCCGTGGGCAGCCAAGTATGAGGCTCAAGCAAAGCAGATTGCAGCACTCACTTCCAAGCTCGACAAGCTGGCCAATAATGTGCCATCGCCAGGCGGGGGCTCGCAGGCGGGGCCAAAGGCTGGAGATCCGAAGGAGGCCGAGGCTGAGAAGTGTCGGGAGCGAATCGAGATGCTGTGCCAGACGATTCAGAACCTCGATGCGGAGCGGGACAAGGAGTTCATTGAGGGGCTGCAAACAAAGGTCAAGGAGACTCGTGAGCAGCTCCAGCGGCTCAAGCCACAGATCACCCAGCACACGAATGCGGGCCACCTGCTGGCGGAGCTGGAGCGGAAGAGGGCGGCCGCGCTCCAGAAGAAGAAGGAGCAGGAGGACATCGTCACGGCTGCGCAGTTGGAGATGGGCAGGCAGGGCGAACTCGTCACCAAGCTCGAGGCCGAGATTGTGGAGGCCAAGCGGGCGTTGGCGAGCACGATCCCCGACGACGTTTTCTTCGACTGCGACGAGGCGGAGTTTGTGGACGACCAAGAGGTCAAGGACATGTTCGCGTCGGCAGCATGGAAGCGATACCACGACAAAGTCAAGGAGAAGGGAGATTTCCGCGCTCGGGCGCCTCCTGCGGCTGCTCATGATGGCGGTGGTGGTGGTCCCGCTGCTGCTGAACGTGGGGCCGCTGATGAATGTGAAGAACCAGATGACAAGGACGTGGACACCCTGTGGCAGGCAACCAAGGGCGAGAAGCGGAACTTGTTGGAGCAGCTGCGCGCCATGGGGTACAAGCGGCCCAAGCGGGGGTGACAGCGGCATCGTTGACGTGAGGAAGCAGAAGGGGGAGCCTGATTTCCGTTTCTACTTCGCTAACATCACCAGCTATGGCGACAAGGCCAAGGACCAGATCAAGGCTTGGTCACGGGCACATGCGCTCAAGGAGCCTGCAGCGCGGGGAAACACCAGAGCGAGCCTGACGGCTCAGAGGAGCGGGTTCCGCACCTCGTCGGTTTCGTGGAACACCACATGATGGGGCCCAAGCTCACGGAGGTGAAGAAGGGGCTCCGTAAACAGGGATGGCGGGGGGATTTCGTCCGAGCCCAGCCAACGATCAACGGTGGCCGTCAGGGACATGGAGGGGTCGCAGTGTACAGCCGCTCCCACCTGCACACCACTGTGCCCACGACGGAGGAGAAGCTCATGTTCCCAGAAGTGCTGCCGCCACTACAGGGCCAATGGACGGTGCAGTGGGTGCGGTTCCAATCTGTCGATATTGCCTTCGTGACGGCTTACTTTGTGGTAGGGGTGGGCCTGGGGGAGCCAAACCTTTCCTTGTTGACGGAGATTGGCCAGTATCTGAAGCTTAAGGGCTCGCCCTTTGTAATCATGGCCGACTGGCACATGACGCTGGATGAGGTGGGGCCTGCATGTTTCGACGCGTGCGTCGGAGGGGGGTGGATCACAGCGGGCCCACATCCGAATGGTGAGAGGTTGATTGGCTGCATGTATGTTTCAGAATCGCTACGCTATGCCGTCGATATCTCGTGGGCCAGCTTCTCGCCATGGGCAGCGCCGCATCATGGGATTCATGGCACCATGAAGAAGGCTGCGTTCACGATGAATCAGAGGGTGGCCCTGGCGCCGATTCCCATGACGCCAGGCATGCACGGACCTGGCCAACCATGGGGGTATTTCTGTGTGGCGGTAGAGGCGGAGGTGAACGAGGGCATGGCGAGGCCAGGGATGCAGGAGCTCGTGGGGCCTGAGAGGGGGGTCAGCATGAGCTACCTGACCTTTGCGTTGGCGGCGGAGGCCCTGCTGCTGAACAGGGGGGTGGAGGCGGCGGACCGCTTCGCGTCCACCAAGAGGGGCTACAAGGTTGAGGTCAAGGAGGTCCAAGTTGTTCCTCCGAAGCCGAAGGGATGGGTGGCCCAAACCTCGGGTGTGGCCAAGTGGGGGGCCCTTGAGGCCCGCCTGCTTGAGTGCGTGGGCATGGCCCAGAAGCGAAGGGCCCTCCATCTCAGACGGCAGGGGTGGGACAGCCTGCAGAGACAAGTGAGTAGATGTAGAAGTTTAACTATTGTTTTACCAGAAGAGGCAGAAAACGCTTCCTGGGCAAGCTTGACGGGGCCCAGTTTCATCATTACGAGAGCCTCCATAGGCTCCAGGTTTTGGCCGAGGAGTGCCGACGCGTGGTTTTGCGTGTTGAGCGTTTCCATGGGCGGGATGCCTCTACTGGATTTAAGCAATGGGTAGTGGAACGTTTAAAGAAAGGGGGGGGGGGGGGGGGGGCTCCCCACCGTTGGACGAAAACGTGGGGGGAGCCAACCCCAACCCTCGCCCCAGAATATGGCCCTGAGGGTGACCGCATTGTTGACCCCCTGGCTGCGGTGGCGGCCAAGGCTGCTGCTTGGGAGGCGCTGTGGTGCCCGAGGGGCGGGGTTAGAGGGCCCCCTCAGGACCAAGACTGGTGGCCAGAATTTAAAGCCTGTGCACGCGAAGCGCTGGATGATCTTCCGATGCTCGAAATTGCTGATTTGGAGGCCGCGCTTTCCAGTTTTCGGTCCGTGATCGGGATGGGCCTAGATGGCCAGAACCCGAAGCATTGGAGCCAGCTGCCACCAGCGGGCCGCAGGCAATTGCTGGCTCTGTTGCACCTGGTAGAGGACACGATGATCTGGCCGAGCCAGGTTCGTGATAATGTTGTGCAGCTGTCACGCAAATCGCCGACAGCAGATCGCCCTATCACCCTCACGCAAGGCCTTTATAGATGTTGGTCGGTGGCGAGGAGGAGGGCGGTGGCGGCTTGGGTGGCGGGGGAGAGTGGGGCTCATTTCTGGGGTAAGGCCATCAGAGGGAGCTCAGCTTCAAGGGCAGCGATTTTGCGCCAATTGCAGTTAGAAGTTTCGACCATCCAGGGTTTCTCGTGGGCCGAGATCCTGTGGGACCTGGAAAAGTTTTACGATCATCTCCGGTGCGGGGAGGTTTTCAGGCTC